GGAGAAGGAGAAGGAGAAGGAGAAGGAGAAGGAGACGGAGATCAGATAAAGCAAACTCTGCGATGTTAGCAAAACTGGGTACTTTTGAAATATGACCCTTCACTTCCAAAAACGCCATGTAACATTTTTGAAATCTGATCTGTGTTTTTTTAATCTAAATGGCTCTTTTTTAAGAGTTTAAAAAGGTGAGGTTTATTTTTTAGAACTGCAGTAGCAGTTTAGCTCTTTTTTCTCATCAAATCCTCATAGTGAACACAAGAGGTCAGCAAACAGCTAGAGAACTGCTATTTACAGTTTTATGCATATCTGTTTTTAGATTTTTAAATCTACTACTGTATTGAACAGGTAGGACAAGGAAGGAGGTGAAGACAGAGAGGTTTTTATGGATGTAATTTCCAGAGAGTTTGCCATCTTAATCCATTGTACAAGATTTTATTGCAAGAAGATTCTGTTTAGAAAGAGTATTGTGACAACTTAAAGACAAATATTCATTCATTTAATAAGCTGTTGTTTTATACTAGTCCCATGTCTCTCCAATTATCTGACCTTGGTTTATTCTCCTAAACCTAATCCATGCACCATGGCCAACTCTGATTCATCTTGGCTCTCTGTCAAAGCACGTTGAGATGTGTGTGCTCTGTGCTCTGTAATAAGAATTAAACCAGTGACTAATTATTTCCTCCCACGTGTTACTCTGATTGCTAAGTCTGATAACTGGGCCTGCCTGTTTACTGTAGATAGAGGCTGAAAATGGAAAAACTCTTGCCTCTGGTCCCTTTTGCAGAGTTTCTGTTCAGGCTCTCAGAAGAAGGGGAGGGGAGGGTAGATGCATTAGCAAATCTCTCCCTGGTTTCTGAGACACGCAGGGTAACTTGTGGACTGAGGAGTCAAGCATTAGCAGCAAAGCTTCTCTCTGTGAGCAAAATGACTTTGCTAACAGACCAACGTCCTAAACTGAAACAATTGTGGAATAACAGATAAAACCTGGATTTATACATTGGACAATCTAAGATTCTAATTAAGTTGCCAAGGGATAATGCACAGTATATCATGCAGCTGATAAAATCACATCCTTAGCTTGCTTAGATTCTTCTTTCATGCATTCATAATGTGTATTAAAAATCATGTATTTTTTCATGCCCCTATTTAGCTTTTCTCAGGTATAATGATATATACACCTGTATATCAAAATTATCCACATAAGAGTTTCAAGTTTTGAGAAATTGTTAAAAAAGGAATTTGTGTGGTCAGGTGTATTTTTGTGAGAACTAATAGTGAATTGATCCTTTGATTTCTTTCTTAAGGTGATCCATGGTTACGTTTCTGAACTTTTGCCTAAGGGCTAATAATTGCCAATGGTGGGATTGGGGAGGCAA